CTGCTCAGGGTTTCTAACTTTGCTCTGTAGTCAAACCAAAAATTTGACTTCAAAAACACCTATACAGGCCAAGAGTGAGTCGCACTTCACAGCCGACACAAAGGAGTAGTGCTTCAGTCTAAGCTCTCCTCTCTCAAATACTTATCCTTGTGCTTTTGTTTGCACTTAATTGCACAAAATATCCCATGGTTCCAAAGGCAGTTAGTGATAGCAGTAAAGCTAAGAGGAAGAATGTGAGAACCACGATGGCGTTAAAGAAAGCATTTGTTATGAAAATGCTTGTCTAATTTGGCGGCTGAGTACCACATAGCTAAGGCGACCTCATCAACATTGTGGTGGGGGGGCCGGGAGGGGAGTGATGAAAGCGGCGAATGTAGCGAAAGGTGTGAAACTGTGATCCAGAGAACCCAGACCATTGAAGAGGTTGAAAAGTTCCTGTTAATTTGGATATTTTAGAAGCAACTTGATGGCGATAGAGCATCCGAGACTGACGTGCGCAAGGGCCAAAAGCCGCCCTCGTGGTTTAATGAAGGATGTGGAAGCGAGGGCTGAGCAGCCGGAAGTGTTCAAAGCCCCCCATGGCTGGATGAGAATGTGAAAAAGAAGACAGGGCCGCACAGTGAGGTAAGGCGCGAGGAGGGAGAGCGTGCACGTGAAGCTGAAGGCGATACATTGGTAGCTGAAGGACTCCATTTCCCAACTACCTGGAGGAGGAGGGCTTCAGTCCCCAGCAAGTGCTCAACTGCAACAAAACCCGAGTTTTTGAGGGAAAAATGCCCACTAGGGCTTGCATGACAAAAAATAAATAAGACACAAGTAAAAGAAAAATGTTCATACTTTGGTTTAAAATCATAAAAAAATTTAGGAGGCATTCTGGGGCAAGTAGTTTTTATGTGTTTTTATAAATGATTAATGAATTACCTGTTACTTGCTCTTATCCTACGTCAATCAATCCATCCTAAATTGCCTATAATAAAGTTCAATATTAATTTTTTTTTTTTAAAAAGGCATTTCAGGCCATGAGCCTATGAAAGATAGGCTCACTCTGTTGTTGGAAATGAGAATTTTAGTGGGGATTTTATTTATTTATTTTTTTAATCCTTTTATTAGGGGCTCATACAACTCTTATCACAATTCATACATACATCAATTGTGTGAAGCACATTTGTACATTCATTGCCCTCATCATTCTCAAAACATTTCCTCTCCACTTAAGCCCCCGGCATTAGGTCCTCATTTTTCCCCACTCTCCCCACTCCCCCCTCTTTCATGAGCCCTTGATAATTTATAAATTGTTATTTTGTCATATCTTGCCCTGTCCGACGTCTCCCTGCACCCACTTTTCGGTTGTCCTTTCCTCAGGGAGGAGGTCACATATAGTTCCTTGGAATCGGTTCCCTCTTTCCTACCCACTCTCCCTCTACCCTCCCAGTATCGCCACTCACACCACTGGTCCTGAAGGGCTCATCCGCCCTGGATTCCCTGGATTTCCAGTTCCTATCTGTACCAGTGTACATCCTCTGGTCTAGCCAGACTTGCAGGGTAGAATTCATGTCATGATAGTGGGAGCGGGGAGGAAACATTTAGGAACTAGAGGAAAGTTGTATTTTTCATCGTTGTTACATCACACACTGAGTGGCTCATCTCCTCTCCGAGACCCCTCTGCAAGGGGATCTCCAGTGGCCTACTCATGGGCATTGGGTCTCCACTCCACACTCCCCCTATCATTCACAATGGTAAAATTTTTTGTTCTGATGATGTCTTATACCTGATCCATTCGACACCTCATGATTGCATAGGCTGGTGTGCTTCTTCCATGTGGGCTTTGTTGCTTCTGAGCTTGATGGCCGCTTGATTACCTTCAAGCCTTTAAGACCCCAGACGCTATACTTTTTGATAGCCGGGCATCATTTTAGTGGGGATTTTAAAGTGAGGCCCATGTTACTGTACCATTCCGAAAACCCACAACAAAACATAATGGAAAAAATTACTTTTATTTACTGTATTGCATTTTTACATTTAATGTACTGTATTTATTGTGTTTAGATGTTTTAGTGGATATTTCCACACCTTAGGGCTGTTAAGTTGGTGTTAAAGTCCTGGACAAATGAATTTATAAGTGCAATTTGGGGGCCTTAAAACCAGTTAATTGGTCTTCTATTATTTCTTACGGGAAAAATATGATCAGTTCTCAAACTTATCGTTGTTTGAACACGAATGTGGAACCAATTGAATTCAACAACCAAAGAATCAATGTATAGTATCACTGAAATATACGATATTTTGGAACTGGAAAAATGCTTTATTACACATTTTATACCAAAATACTAATAACAATAAACAGCTAGATGACATCAGCTCGTTGAGCCCTACCTTGCTGAAGAGCTGGTTGTGCAGCGCTGTGGATGCCTTCCTTGTGACTTTGGTGAAAGCCCCTGAGGAGCAGATCCCCAGGCAGGCCAGGAACAGGGCACTGAGGCCATAGACCAACTGGTAAAAGGGCAGCTGTGGATTATCCAGCGGGTCACCTGGAATTGCATTGGTCCCATTGTTCTCTTGGCTGCCATTGGTCTTGAAGAAAGAACAGAATGTCAGACCACTTGAGTCCAGGGTGAAATTGAGGGTGAGAAAAAAGCCTTCTCCCTATGGCCTTATGAGATTTAGAGACATACACCATGAGACTATGTATTAAAACATCCCAGCTTCATTCTTTTACTACCTTCTGTTTCATTCCCATTGCCACAGCTCTGGATCTCCTGAGGAGCCCTGGTGGTGTAATAATTAAGCTCTGCTGAATAAACTCTAAACTCGTTGCCATCAAGTTAGTGCAAAAACATAGCAACACTTTATGATATGGAGAACTGCTCCTGTGAGTTTCCAAGACTGTAACTCTTTACAAAGGTAGTGTGGTAGTTACATAATCTGCTGCCAACTTGAGACTATTAAGAATGAAGGGGTAGAGTTTAGCCTGTCAATCAGGTCACAGTTTGATGACCTCATTTGGAGGTGCTAAGGAGATAAATAGCTCTCTGGAGGGACACACACTCACTCCCTGTGAGACATTCCTGTTGACAAGCCACACGGAGCTATGCTGATGGCAGTGAGAGCCTTGGAGCTGGAGGAGCTACATGGAGACCCATGCCATCACTAAGATGCTTCCACTGCCACTGGATCCATAAGACTTTCCACCCACTGGCCTATGATCTTCCTGCACTTGGTATCATTGCATGTGTTGCATGAGTCTGAAAAGGAATTTACAGACTGGTACTGGACATATGGGCTAATATTGGACTTATGGACTTGATCTGGACTGGACTGGTATGTTTTCTTAATGTACAAATACTCTTTATATAAAGCTCTTTCCTATACCAATATGAGTGTCTCTGAATTTATTTCTCTAGCCTACCCAGAGTAACACAGATTTAAAAGCCCATCTTTTTCCTGTGGAACAGCTGGTAGTTTTGAACTGCTGACCTTGCGGTTAGCAGTCCAACACATAACCAGTACATGGCTAAGGCTCCTCTGTCCTCAGCACTGCTACAATTATGACTTCTCTTCATTCTTCTTTAAAGAGTCTTTGCCCCAAGAGTATCTATATGCTAATGCTACTTTTTGTCTCCTGTCTGGGTAGAAATCAGCTGGATAAATTAATCCACTCTCTGAGGTTTAAGAGAGTCCCTGGATGGCACAAATGATTAAGCACTTGATCACTATCCAAAAGGTTTGAGTTTCCAATCTACCTAGAGACACCTTGGAAGAAAAGCCAAATCCTGTTATATAGAGGAGACATGAGAATTGACTAGCCAGGAACTGGTTTGGTTTGGGTTTATGGCGTTAGAAGTTTCTGTTAGATTCTGATCCATCTTCTTCCTTGACCCTCTGTGATGATGTGGGTATAATTTGGGAACTAGATGGCAGATTAGAGTCCTCCAGGGAAAGACACTCACAGAAAATTTCAAATATAGAAAAGAAGAAGCTATTGTAATTTGATGTTAACTATGGGCAGGTGCATAGCACATGGAGTTTGTCAGTGGCTTCCAGGTATCCGAAAAAGCATCCACGTCAATGAAACCCACTTGTAGTCAGTAGTGACTGTTTTCTTTCTATACCCCAACCTTCCTAATGGTGTGTGAGTCTCTGGTTCTCTGTAGAAAATCTTTTCCAGTGCTAAATACTGAGACGGTCTCTGGTTGCCAGACCAAATTTTGCTGATACTTAACTCAAAAGGTTAACCAAGTGAGGCATTTGGAAAACCATTCTTAGATTCAGACTATCGTTCCATTTTTCATATGAGGAAACTGTGCCTAGATCGGATAAAATAAAGAACCTGCTTGAGTCTTGTAGATAAGAAATAAAGGAGCAGGAATCAGGCAAGTACTTTATCCTATCTAGGCAGTTTCCTCATATGGACAGTGGTACCTACCTCGAATGTAGTTGGAAAGGTTAATGAAATAGCCTGGCACTCAGTAGCTCCCCAGCCTCTGCCATACACCAGGAGTATAAGCGCATATATTAAACAAAACATGATGATGAGGCAAATGGATAAAGTCACTAAGATGGAAAATAAAACATTTGGAGGAGCAGAAACCTTCTGGATGCCTCCCAAGCAAACTAAATAGATGATTACCCACTCTAAATATAGGCTGGAATCCCTGGTATGCTGTCTCCCAGAGGTTCTCTTTGGTGCAGCTTCTGCCAACTTGCCAACTTAGCAATGGTTGGCATTGCACTTACCCTGCGTACCCCTAATTTATGGTCCTTATGAGCATCAGATAATAAGTTCCCAGGAAGCAGGAATTTACTCCACTCCATGAAAACTAATAGAAATGTACCTCATCCCCACCATGGTACTCACCCCTGATCCCTGCTGCAACCAATAGCTCAGCCACCAGAAGTTGAAGGTCATGAGGGACATGCTCATCACTATGAGAAGGCAAAGCATGAAAGAGACCATGTAACCTGTGGGGAGAGAGGGGGATGTGCTGAATTATACCTGGGGCCAGTGCAAGAGACAAAGCAACTCATGACAAAACAAGTCAACACTTTCAGACCCTGAATCCTTGGAGCTTCCCAACTCTAATCTAGTTTGGATGCTTTGAGGACTGGAAATAGCTAAGTTCCAAGTTCAGAGAGCCCTGGATTGAAATCCTGGATCTAGGACTTCCAAATTGAGTGACCTTGAGCAAGGTACCAAAAATGGCATTTCATTTCTTTATCCATGAAATGGTGATAGCAAGGGCAGCCTCCTCGGGCTGCTCTGCAGATGATGTGAGACAGCATGTGTCAAAGACCCAACCAATGCCCGGAACACATGTAGTATTCCACAGCAGCTAATTCCTATTATGCAGGAACTGCAAGTACCATTTTTTAAATAACAACAGTTACCACATATGTTGCTAATGAATCTTCCTCCAATTCCAGTGGAACATTCTTTTTCATATAGTCCAGCTTCTCTGATCATTTGCTCAGCATAGAGATTGAAGAAGCGTGGTGAAATAACAAAACCCTGACATGGTTTCCAGATTTTAAACCACAAAGTATCCCCTTGTTGTTTTTGAATGCCTGTTGGCCTATATGACGAACAAGGTATTAGCAGATTATAGTAACTCAATAACAACCTACAAAATGCTGATGATACACATTGCTTGTTGAAAGCAAAGGAGTCTTGAAGCACTTACTGTGAAGACTTTTAAAACTAAATAATTCTATATGAATTTCAATATAATGGTTGGGTGGCACCATAATGATAAGTATTTGAAGAGAAAAGATTGAAATTGTCAAGGGTTTCATCTTACTTGGATCCACAATCAACACTTATGGAAGCAGCAGTCTACAAATAAAATCTATCTGATATACTGCATCCGGCAAATATGTTGCCAAAAAAAACCAAAACAACTTTTAAGTGGTAAAAAGCAAAGACATCAGTTTGAGGACTAAGGTAGACATGACCCAACCCATGGTATTTCCAGTCATCGCATATGAATGCAAAAGCTGGTAAATGAGAAAATATATATCAAAGTAGATTTGATACATTTTGAATTATGGTGTTGGCAAACTATATTGAATATCCCATAGATTGCCAGAAGAATGAACAACAATGTCTTGGGAATAGATGCAGTTAGAATGCTGCTTAAAAGTGAAGATATAGAGCCCAACCATCCCAATAACCTGGCAAGGAAGGACAAGAACATCCCTGCCAGCAGGTGAGGTAGGCCCTAGCTATTACTGGGTCCTAGCAAGTTAGGGTCCAGATACCCCTGTGACCTCACAAAGAAAACCTTTGCAATCTCTGCCCCAGGCAAGGAAGGCCCTGTCTGTCCCTGGCCCCAGCAAAGAGGGCCCCAGTGACCCCAGCAACCTCACAAAGTCAGCCCCAAGCAGCAAGGAAAGTCTCAGCCACCTTGCCTTCTAGCAAGGAAAGCCCCAGCTGTCTCCACCTGCTCAGCATGGACAGATCCAGCCATCCCAGGAACCCAGCAAGTCCTGGTCATCCCTGCCCCCTTGCAAGAGAGGCTCCAGCTGTTTCTCTCCCCTGGTAAGAAAGATGTAAGTCTTCTGATGCACACAAGTGCCTTATTTTTAGTAGGTTCCAGTCATCTACTTTGTCTTCTACTGTGTGTGCTTCCTTTATTACAGTTGGTAGTATATGCATGCCCTGCATCGGGCCCTTAAGTTTGTCTCTATTTTATCATTGAAGATTGCTATACCTTTGATATTTACATTTTGAAAAACAGCCACAAATAATTGAACAACACCCAGATCCAAAGAATTACTTTGAGGAGGAAGGCCTTCAAGTACTAGAAATAGGATCCGGGAGAATGATGTTTAGATGCTTTCAATGGATGGAGGAAAGAATTGAAAAACTAGAAACCCTACACTAATTAGAACCCTTGGAGGGGGGTGGGGGAGCAATACGATAACAGAATTAGACAACATGGTTAAACAGCTGAGTAACAGCATCAAAGAAAAGACAAACTGAATAAGTGAGCAAAAAGACAATTCTTCCTAATACAACCAATGAGAGAAATAACCAAAAACAACCCAAAAAAGCCAAGGAATTGGAGGAAAGCCTATGGATGATGCGGGACATTATCAAAATATATATAAATATACATATAAATCTCATTGAGATCCTGGAGCAAGAAGAAACAAACAGACAAACCATCAAAAATCCAGATAAAACGGTACAAAAAATCATGAGAAAGGACTTCATAAAGAAAGAAAAAAGAACTATACAAAAAGCTAAAAGAACTCCAAAGAGGATAGATCCCCAAAGAAAAATATTATGAAATATTGTAGTCAAACTCTCCAATATCAAGAAGAAGGAGAGAATCTTCAGAGAAGCTATGGGAGGAAAGATAGACAGACACACAAAAATGTAAGGAAAAGCTTGGATTTCTCACCAGAAGCCATGAAGACAAGAAAAGAAGACCATGGAGTGACATACATAAAATACTGGAGCAGGAGGGGTGCAGGGACTGCCGACCATGAATTCCATATGCAGCAAAACTCTCTCTCAAGTATGAAAGAGAAATAAGGGTACTTCCAGCATTATAGAAAATATTATTGCGAATACTTTGGAAAGAGAATCAACAACAGCTGACAAACTAAGAGAAACATACAAGTCAACAACACGCAGAAATCAATACAATGAAAATAGTACTGAAAACACAGAAACAGAGGGAGAACAAAGAAATCAATAAAACCACAAAAACAAAAACACAGAGAAAATGACAGCAACAAACCTGTGCATACCAATAAAGACACTAAATATCAATGGATTAAATAAACCAGTCAAGAGACAGAGCATAGCAGACTGGACTAGAAAACAAGGTCCATCTATCTACTGCCTACAATAGACACACCTAAAACACAAAAACAAAAATAGGCTGAAAAGTAAAGAGAGGAAAAGAAAGAGAAGATGCAAATATCTAGAATTAGAGAAGAGTAGGTGACATCACGAAAGAATCAAATGAAATAAAATAACCCACTACTACGAAGGACTGTACTCCAACAAGTTAGGAAACCTGGAGGAGATGGACATTTTTCTAGTAACATACTATCTACTCAGAGTAATGCAGACGGACAGAGGAAAACCTCAACAGGCTCATAACAAAACAAGAAATAGAGCAGATCATTAAAAACTTCCCAACCAAAAAAAGAAAAAAAGAAAATTCCAAGACTGACTGAATTCACAGGGGATTTCTACCAAGTATGAAGTAAAGTATTATCACCAATTCAACACAGATGTTCCAGAATACAGAAAAGGACAGGAAACTCTCAAATTCATTTTACGAAACAAGCATAACACTGATCCCAAAACAAAGGATAGAAAAGTGCAGGCCAATATCCCTTATGAACATAGACTCAAAAATTCTTAGTAAAATCTTGGTCAATAGAATCCAACAATATACCGAAAAATTAACACAACATGATCAAGTGATATTAATACCAGTTACATCAGGATGATCCAGCATTAAAAAAAAACAACAATGAAATCCACCACATAAGGCAAACAAAAAAATAAGAACCACTTAATGATATCAATCGACACAGAAAAGGCATTTGACAATATCCAACACCCATTCCTGACCAAAACACTCAACAAAATAAGATAGAAGGAATATTTCTCAAAATAATCAAGGTCATATATGAAAAAATGGAAAGCAAACAAAAAAGAAAACCAATTTACTCGGTAAATTTTCACACAAATCATAATTTTGAAAAATTTTATGAGTGAAAAAAAAAGGACATCTCACTCAATGGGGAAACTACTAAAAAAAGCATTTCCCTGCAAACTGGAGTCAGACAAAGATGCCCCTATCACCACTCCTTCAAAATTGTGTTGGAAGTCTTAGCCAGAACCATTAGACAACACAGGAAATCAAAGGAATTCAAATGGACAGAGAAGAATCAAACATATCACTATTTGCAGATGACATGGTTTTATATGTAAAAACCAAACAAATAAAACCCAAAGACTCAACAAAAAGATGTAGGAAACAATCAAAATATTTGGAAACGTAGCAGGATGTCAGATTAGCAGCAAAAGTCAGTCTGATTCCTTGATAGTAAAGAAGAGAGCTCTGAAAAAGAAAACAATATGATTTAGAATAACCATAAAAAATACCATATCTATGAATAAACCTAATGAGAAACCAAAGAGCTGTACAAAGGAAACTACAGATCACTGCTATAAGAAACTATGAGACCTTCACAGATGGAAGACTATTCGGTGCTGTTGTTAGGTCCTCTACAGTCGATTCCAACCCATAGCAGCCCTATGTCCAATAGCGAGAAACACTGCCGACAATTGTTCTAATGTGTGGGCCTCTTGATGCCACTGTGTCACTCCATCTTGTCAAGGGCTTTCCTCATTTTTGCTGCCCCTCCACTTTACCAGGTATGATGTCCTTCTCCAGGGACTGGTCTTTCCTGATAACATGCCACAAGGATGTGAGGCAATGTCTCACCTTCCTTTCCTCTAAGGAGCATTCTGATTATACTTCTTCCAAGACAGATTTGCTTCCTGGTTTTCATGAATATTTCATTCAATATTCTTCCCTAACATCATAGTTCAAATGCATCAGTTTCTCTTTGGTCCTCCTTATTCAATGTCCAACATTCACATGGATATGAGACAATTGAAAACACTACAACTTGAAAGAGGCACACGTTAGCCCTCAAAGTAACACCTTTGCTTTTCAGTATTTTAAAGAGCTCTTGCGCAGCAGATTTTCCCAATGCAATGCACCCTCTGATTTCTTGACTGTGCTTCCATGAGAATTGAGCATTGATCCAAACAAGGTGAAATTCTTGATAATTTCAGTCTTTTCTCCATCCATCATGATGTTACAAAATCCCGTTGTGAGGATTTTGCTTTTCTTTACATTGACTTGTAATCCATACTGTAAATTGGAATCCTTGATTTTGTCAGCAAGTGCTTCAAGTCCTCCTCA